TTTTTTTTTTTTTTTTTTTTTTTTTTTGTTTCTTAATAGTAAATTTATTCACTGATATTTCCCTTTTCAAAGACCTTTTTCAAAGAAAAACACTTAAAAAAAAAAAACACGTGAGATACTCATCCCCTAACGCTCACCCACATTGTAAGACTTAGAGATGGTGGAGAGCTGACACCATACTCCCGCTATAATACATTTTGAGGTATTTCAATATTTCTCGGATATATGCAATTTTGACAAGCAGTCATACAGTCCTATACAACGTCCGTCAAGTATGCAAGTGAGACCTTAAATGATACGAAAACAAATACAATTTTTAAAAATAAAAATTTAAATAATTAATAAGCGAGACCTTAAACATACGGTAGTCGTAGTAGTCGACCAATGAAACTATACTCAATAGACCTTTATAGAGTTTTTTTTTTTTTCCCATAATTTTATTGTGTAAACAATTATAGTTTTTTTTTAATATAAAAAATACATAATTAACAAATTCTAAATTTATCCCCAGAGTTCAGTATCTTAGTAATAAGTTTGGGTTAATGAGCATCCCTCAGTCATCAACAAAGCTGTATCGTATTTGCTCATTTGTACTCAGCAGAACGTTCTTGACAGCCCATCCTAAGCTTGACATTTGTTTAACCAAATTACAACCATTTTCTTCTGCATATTTCTTGCTATCCTCAACCAAACCAACCCACTCCTTCGCCATTGCATCTGAAAACTTAATACCTTTCATGATTTCTTCGTCCCAAATGCTCGTGTTCGATACAATCGCTTTGCGGATGAAGCATGCCTATTCAACTCAAAACCCATTATTACATCAGAATCATAAAGTCATCAAACAACGGCTGAATATTAAAGCATATGGACTAAAAGAATGTTGTGACATCCCGTTTCGAAGAGATTTCCGCAATGCTTTCGTCCCTCGAGTATCAATACTCTCTATGATTTTAAATGCTTCCCTTTGGTCTTTCTGGTTTTGTTTTATCTCTAAACATCATTAACATCATCAAAAGTTGACCATTGTCTTTCATGTTTCCTTAATGCATTTAAAAAAACGTGCTATTGAAAGAAAAACAAAATAAAAAACTATGAAACACTTGGTTTGAAAGATTTAACTAAATCTAAGATCCCACATCGATTGAAAAAGGAAATGAATGCTAACGAGGATGTTGGGTATCGGTTGGAGAGGGAAACGAAGCATTCTTTACAAGGGTGTGGAAGCCTCTCCCTAGTAGACGCGTTTTAAAAATCTTGGTGGAAACCCGAAAGGGAAAACTCAAAGAAAACAATATCTACTAGCGGTGGACTTGGGCTGTTACAAATGGTAGAAACTCTCTCTAGAAGATGCATTTTAAAAACCTTGAAGGGAAGTCCAAAGAAAACAATATTTGCCAGTGATGGGTTTGAGTTATTCCACTAAATCACCCTACCAAACTAAAACTTTTCGAACAATAGATATCATATTCAAATCAAGCTCAAACCAAACAGATGAAAAGAATTTAAGCAATTTTCTACTACCTGCAATAACCCCATGCTGATATCTGCTGCACGAGCCCCTTCACGAAGACAAAGAAGAATACCGTGCTACGATTTCGAACAAGAAAAGTGTGAGCAAAATAAATATGGACAGCTCGTAAAGGTTAATCGAAGTATATCTACTCACTGTATTTGTTTTTAAGCCCCAGCAGAAGACATCCATGCATATAAAATAATAGTCCTTGTTACATACAGATCGCATTGCAAGCATTGACAATTTTGGTATTTGAGACTCCAGATTCAAGCAACCTATTCTGATTGGCCATGAAACCTTACCTGAATATTGAAGTTATTATATTAATTAACTGCAGTTCAACATAAGTCTATGATTTGTTAACCTTCTATGCATAATGGAATCAATACAGAGACAAGACTCTCACCCTTTCTGCATAGTAAACCAATTCCTTCCCTCTCACTTACTTCGGCTGGTGTAGGCATGTATCCTTGCTCGATCCAAGTGCATAATATGATCTCGAGTCTATCCTGAACATCATGTAACTAACGGTTGAGAAGCAACAAAATTATAAAACGTATTTCTAAAGATAGTGTTTCACCTATAAAGAACTCTATCAAAACTCAAGTCATTCCGAACTCAAGTAGTGAAGAGAGAATAAAGAAATCATAGTTCCATTAAGCAAACAGCTGATAAAAGATAATTTTGCTCCATCAAGTAAGCACAAAACAAACAGCAAATTCGAACACAACTTGTGAGATCCCATGTCGGTTGGTGAGGAAAACAAAGCATTCTTTATAAGGGTGTAAAAACCTCTTCCTAGCAAACGTGTTTTAAGAACCTTGAGGAGAAATCCGAAAGGGAAAGTTCAAAGAGGACAAAATCTACTAGCGGTGGGCTTGGGTCATTACAAATAGTATCAAAGCCAAACACCGGATGATATGTCAATGAGGAGACTGAGTCCCAAAGGGAGTGGATATGAGGCGGTGTGCCAGTAAGGATGCTGGGCTCGAAAGGGAGTGGCTTGGAGGGTCCCACATCGATTGGAGAAGGGAACGAGTGTCAACGTCCTCGCTGAGCCACAAAGGGGAGTGGATTGTGAGATCCCACATCGGTTGGGGAGGAGAACGAAGCATTCTTTATAAGGGTGTGGAAACCTCTCCCTAACAGACGTGTTTTAAAAACCTTGAGAGGAAGCCCAAAAGGGAAAACCCAAAGATGACAATATTTCCTAGCGGTGGGCATGGGCCGTTACACAACTAGCCTCCAAATACTATGGAAAGTTGAATAACACAAAACCTACCTTCGTTAGCGTTTGCAAATGGACATGTTTAAGCCCTTGATATGTTCCGAAAAGATCCATTGCAGCAAAAATGGGGTAAACTACAAAAGGTAAAGCTGCTTGCAATCTAACATAAAAAAAATTATGAGTTAGAAAACCTTGAAATGATAAATTCCAAAAACGAGAAAACACGTACATCATGATAAAACAGACATTAATTGATAATCTCTGAGTACTTGTAACTTATTTAAGAACAAACGGAAGTCTAAAGAACAATCAGGGGAAAAAAACCTTTGATCATTCTTGGACAAGAAGTTCAGAAGGGCGGCAAGTATGAGACCAAGATTATCAAAGCACACTGATTGAATCTGCATAAAATGGATAGTTGAATGAACGTAAAGGAAACCGAAAAATTGTGATCTGTTTCAGGAAGGATTATAGCCAACCTGTGCCTTGGCAGCAACTTCACCAAGGTTATCTGCCACCGCAAAACTTCTATGAACAGCAGACTGATTACAAAGAGTGAGAACTATAAGACGACACTGATAAATCCGGAGCCGTGAAGCAAAAAGAATAATATCTATTGAAATGAAACTTTCAGGAATGTTTAACTAGCATAATTAGAACTTTTGAAACTGAGTCTTCCAGAAACTTCATAAATGAACCGAATGGATATTAAAGACATGTTTGGAATAACTTTCCATGTGCTTAAAAACCTTTTTCTAAACACTTTGAAAGTCATTCCAAACCTTAAGTGATCAACAACTTGGAGTAACTTGTCCCGACAAACGAACAACACAGAGTAAACCAACAAACACCTCTTACCAACAGAAAGAAATATTGGTTATTATCATAAAGAGGCGATCGATTTTCCGTGAAGAAAGTATGTCAAACATATAATGCACAAAAATTGGACTAGATAAAATTGTGAACCCTTACAGCCGTTGATAAGTAGCATCCAAGACTTATTTGTTTCACGATGTTTGCAATCGATGCAAGAAGCAAGAAGTACTGAGGAAATGCCGGAGTCAGCAACTCAACTCCAATGCTTAAACTGAATAGAATAGCGGTCGAAAACCTGACTCTCTTGAAACGAGAAACATTAAAAAAAATGTTCATCAAACAATAAGATACAAGGGAAACACAAACACTGCACTTTCAAGGATGATCTTCAAATAAAACTCCTTGTTCATAAGCCATTAACAAACAGAAGCAAACCTTCAAATTTGTATCGAATGAAGATGCTATCGTGGCAGTGTAAATACACCGACTTAACCGTCCAAGTCCATCCTTCAGGACCCAATTCAGAGCTGCTGCAGATGCTAGTGAACGAGTGCGCCCAACTCCTATAGCCCGAAACATTGCCTATCAATAAGAATTTTCCTTATAATTGGAAGAGAATACTTATCATTAAACCATTAGGTGGACATAAATAAAATCAGAGCTAACAACTACAGTGCAGAGCCATAAAAATTAACACTCCAAATACTTTCATCAGGTAAACAATTCAATCCACACAACACAAAACACTTCAAAGTTCTGCTATCCGGATGTGCTCAAGCTAAAATGTTGTCCCAACAGTAACCAACTACAAGAAATAAACTAAGCAGAATATGAACAACCATCATCCTTACACTCTATCAGACTAATTTCTTCTCGCAACTAGAAAACTCGAATAAATTAAAGGATTAAGTTTCATCCACCGACCTGAGTAGCAATAACCTGCAGAGCGGAACTGAAAACCCGATGCAAGAACTTCCATTTGACATAAAGTACATAATGCTCACTAACATTCTTGGGAATAAAAAAACCCTTAACAGCCAAACCACATGCCCTGTACATCGTTCGAAACCCATCATTGAAATCAAAAGAAACAGATGAAGCACCACCATCAACGCCGACCAACTGTAGAGAAACCCCATCCCACACGTACTGAGAGACCCTACCGGACCGGAGAAGGACGACGGGGAAGCGCACCGGAGTGCTGGGACTGGGTCCATCATCAAGGCCTTCATCGGCTCTGTACCGAGTTCTTGAAGTTCTGATAACAGTTCGAGGTGTAAGGCGGAATCTAGGCTTATTTGGAACCCCAATACCAAGGGTGAAGTGGGTTTCGGGGAAAATCCATGGGCGTTGAAATTGAAGGGAATTCGAGATTGGGTTGAAGGAGCTGCTTTGCATGAGGGAGTGAAATTTTGGGGTTGTCGCTGCGAGAGAGGGAGAGAGAGAGAGAGAGAGAGAGAGGGAGATGGCGTAAGACGCAAAAAGGGCGCGATATGGTCCGCTCGAAGCAGCGGATTTCCCTTCCAGAAATTGTGAAGTGCTTATACAATCAAAGTGCGGAGTGGAAACTAGGGTCCAACAATGAGCTCGATGATGATTACCTCCCGCCAAGAAACAAGGGCTTTTCTTTCTTTGCTTTCCTTCTTTTTTACCTACAACAATTGGGTCTCATAATTTCAGTTTTTTACGAATTAGTCCCTTTCTTAAAATTTAAAAGTATGGTAAGTAACAATTTTGTTACCATCTTTTCAAATCTATGACAACTAGAAGAGACATAGGATATCTACGAGGGAGATAATCTATGAACGAGAGGGAGATAATCTATGAAGAGTAAATAAATAGTTCCTATATAATATTAAGAGTAATAACAGACTCTAAATTTCCACTTACCTATCATCACTACTGTTATTATTATCTAAACTCGTATGCGAAATTAAACATTCATCTTAAAACACAGTCATGACTTACGTGTTTTGAAAACACCTTTAAAACAAATTACAAAAGACTAAAGAAAAGAAATAAACCTCTAAATTAAAAATAGTTTATTCTAGCCCAAGTCTAAGAAAATAAATGTGACTATTCTATGCATGTGTCATGATCAAGTTGCGACGTCGTCAGATGTACAGGAACACCTTGTCTTTACCTGAAAAGAAGTAGCACATGGCTGGCTTGAGTATTTGAAGAAATAAGCAGTAAATGACTCAACTCTTGAGATCAGGGAATGCAAACATAATTCATGATCTAGAGACTTATCATTTAAAAAAAACTATCATAGGAGTGGCATCCAGTCTCGAACAAATTGGATGTGTAGTACTTCTCTACACACAATCTACACGTGCGAGTGTGAATCTCCAGGGGGTCACACCCCCTAGACCCTCTTTAGTCAAGCTAATCTAAAGAGTTTAATTAACTAACATTGTGTCATTGGAACTTATATTTCAAATTTGAATGTGTAGTTAGCCACAAAAATTAATTAACTAAAGAGTTATCAATTAACTTTGTATCACTGAGTTTATAATCTTCAGGTCTATAAGGTCTCCTCGCTTGATTGAAAATAAAAATTGAAGGGTTCCAATTAAAATTTAATATATTAGATACATTCAAGGTAAAGGAAAAAAATTTAAAGTTAAAATTAATATTTAATATATTAGATTTATTGAATTTGATACATTAAATATTAAAACAATTATAATACATTCAATAAAAATATATATTTGAAAATTCAATAAAATAGGAGTGGATTAAGATATTATATTATAATATATTAGATATTTAAATATTTATTTGATAAAAATTATCCAACGGTTCCTGAACTAATAGGTTGAGCCAAAATGTCATTGATCTCTCACACTTGGGAGAATTCTTTTGAAACTATTCTTCTCCAATTTCTACGAGATTTTCTTTCAAAAGGCTCTCACAAGTTTTAGCCTTGTGTTCGAGTCATAGTAAGAAAGATTTTATGGGATGTGGAAGAACTTCTGTATTGTTGGAATACATCAAGGAGGTTTGCAAGCCGCAATTTCTATCAAGTTTGAGTTCTTACTCTTATATTAATTGCTTTATTTTAATTCTTAATAGAATCAAAATGGTTCCCAATTCTTACACTACAAGGATGAACATTTCATTCCCTTCATTCGGGTGAATACTAGTATGAGCCGTTACAAGTCTATCAAACCCAACATTCAAGAAGTCGTTTAGTTGCTTGTACAATTCAACTAGATTGGATTGAGTTGTATGACACATATCTGTGGTAGAAAATCTCGCCCTCGATACAAAATTAATTTCATGATATTTGTCTTATTCATCATGGTCCAAGATTGGCAGACTAAAAAATTAGGTCATGACAAATTGGTATTAGAGCAGTCATGTTTTAGGTCAAGAGTCGAGGAACAACCTAAACAGCTCAGTGGTAGAGAGTTAATCTCGTAAACTGAAGGTTTGTAGTCCAATCCTACATGAAGACGTACTTTTTCTTTTTGAAAAGAATTCTTTGTTTATAATTAGATTCATTCACATAACGCTCGGGCAGAATAAGGATCAAAGTTTTCTAGAGCAAATCCATGTTAATCTACTATGAATATTGGCTACTTACTATTTTATACTCACCCCATTTTACATTTCTTTTTTATACTTTTGTTCATTGTCGGTCAAGAAGAGAGAGTACTCAAAAGTTGCGGTCACAGAGGGGATGTTTGAACTTTTATCCTGCCTAACTCACTTCCGGCTTTTAAATGAATTTGAAAATCATTTGCAGTCAGATTTTAGATCTCGTAGAATTGTCTAAGTAGAGAGTCTGGTTATAACAATGATAGTCTTTATTGTTTTTATTATTTTATTCTCACTACATCTCTACATTTCTTTCACATGTCGATTGATGAAGGGAACTGCTCGAAAGATGTGCAGACAGGGGTCTTGTTGAGGCATCACACATTTGTATATTTTATGTCTGGTATATTTTGTATGAATTTGAATTCTGCCAACAGCTTTTAAATAGACTTCAAAATCACTTGCATTAGGTTTCGGTTTATTTTAAATTGGGTAAAATTTCGTTGTATTTTATTTTTAATTTACTTTTAATTTATTTGCTTGCTTGGTCTTCTTTATCACGATCCATAATTTGAAACCTCATAAAATCGGGTCGTAACAAATCGGGAGTTTTAGGTTCTATAAAACTTTCTAGGTTGAGAGTCGGCTTATCAAAATATTAGTTGTTATAGGTTAGTGGTAGAGCATTATCTTGTAAATTGAAGGTCTTTAGTTCCATCCTACATGAGGACATGCATTATTGTAAATGGAAGTCTTTGCTTGTTTTTCTAGGTTGAGAGTATGGGAGAGGTTCTATGGAATTGCCAAGGTCAAAAGTTGAGTTTTAATGTTAATAGCCCTTATAGCTCAGTGGTGGAGCGTCAATCTTGTAAACTGAAGGTTTGTAGTTCAATCTTGTATGAAGGCATACACATTTTTAAACATTCTAAATGGAATTGCCAAGGTCGAGAGTTGAGTTTTAATATTAATAGCCCTTATAGCTCAGTGGTAGAGCGTCAATCTTGTAAATTGAAAGTTTGTAGTTCAATCTTGCATGAGGGTATACACATTCTAAATTTCGTATTCATTTATTCGCTATTGCCGATCAAGGTGGGAGAGTTTCTACAGAATTTCCAAGGTCGAGAGTTGAGTTTTAATATTAATAGCCCTTATAGCTCAGTGGTAGAGTGTCAGTCTCATAAACTGAAGGTTTGTAGTTCAATCCTGCATGAGGGCATTACACATTTTGTATTCATGTGTGGGAGAGTTCCTATAGAATTGCCAAGGTCTCGAGAGTCATAGCTCAGTGGTAGAGCTTCAGTTTTGTAAACTGAAGGTCTGCAGTTCATTCTTGGGCATTACACATTTTGTATTCATGTGTGGGAGAGTTCCTATAGAATTGCCAAGGTAGTTCATTCTTGGGCATTACACATTTTGTATTCATGTGTGGGAGAGTTCCTATAGAATTGCCAAGGTCTCGAGAGTCAAGTTTTGACACATTTTGTATTCATGTGTGGGAGAGTTCCTATAGAATTGCCAAGGTCTCGAGAGTCAAGTTTTGAAAACAATAGCCCTTATAGCTAAGTGGTAGAGCTTCAGTTTTGTAAACTGAAGGTCTGTAGTTCATTCTTGGGCATTACACATTTTGTATTCATGTGTGGGAGAGTTCCTATAGAATTGCCAAGGTAGTTCATTCTTGGGCATTACACATTTTGTATTCATGTGTGGGAGAGTTCCTATAGAATTGCCAAGGTCTCGAGAGTCAAGTTTTGACACATTTTGTATTCATGTGTGGGAGAGTTCCTATAGAATTGCCAAGGTCTCGAGAGTCAAGTTTTGAAAACAATAGCCCTTATAGCTAAGTGGTAGAGCTTCAGTTTTGTAAACTGAAGGTCTGTAATAAGTATTAATGACATGAATATGAGAGAAAAACACCCAGAGAGTTAAGACCCTAAACTGATTGATTTGTTGAGGATTTAAGTAACATGAAAATGACCCAATAAATGGACTCCGCTACCAAGCATATTATGGTATGTTAAAGATTATATATATGAAATTTAGTAGTCATTAGACAAGGTTAGTTAAATAACGGTGTAAAATGACCATAATGCCCCTAAGGTAACTTATCTCCGGTTCACAATCTAAGTGATCTCCAAAGTAACTTTTTTTCCGTTCATGATCTAAATGATCTCCAAATTATATGAAACTTTATAATAGGCTTATTTTATGATGATAGTTTGAAAGTTATTGGAACATGTTTAGAGGCCAAACTAAGAATTAGGGTCTAAGAAATGCTTAAAGGATGCTAGGTATCACTCAAGGACAAGGGATCAAGGTCATTAGACTCAGAAATTCAAGAAACTCCTCAACCTCCCATGATACAGCATGTTTATGACCCAGACTATATCGCTTGAAATGTAAGAAAATTTGGATGTAGATTTTCATACTACGTTACTTGGAACGTATGAAGCCTTGGGCATAGGTATTCAGATCATATCGTAGGGAATAATGAAGTCCTGGATGCGGGATCAGACTATGTCGCATGGAACACATAAAACTTTGGACGTAGGTTAAGACTGTGTTGCTTGGAACGTATGAAGCTTTGGATACAAGTTGTCAGGTTCATGACTTGTACCGTAAATCCTAAGGGGAGTATCTTGGAGAACAAAAACCTATAAAATAGCCAAGAACCAATCAACAATCAAGAATTATAACATGGATTAAGATCCAAGTTCTGAGAACAAAAACCCAGAACATTAGTACTAAGGTCCTTAGATCAAAACCAAGGTTGGTACCTCATAACCCAAGGATCAAGGTGCTAAATTATGAAAATAACTCACCAGTGAAGAATAGAACCAAAGGACCCAAGTACTTACCACAAGAATCATAATAAGTTAAGGAGTGTTGTACCCTAGCATACGCACGATTAAGAGCCTACTTACTGAATCTTTGTACTCACTCCATATTTTACATGTTTTTTAGATAACTAAGAATTCGGTCGAGGTTAGGAGCAGACTCTGGAGCAAGTGCCATAGACAAGCCTCATCTGTCGTCCTCAACCTCTTTTGTTTTTAAATATTTTGTATTTGTTCCTTACCCTAAAATAATTTTAATTTTCCTATACTAGTAGTCCTCAACTTTTCTATTACATTTCCCACCTTACAACATTACTTTCTTTTCCATTAGCAATTTAAAATTTGGTATAATATGATTTTTGTTTCATACATTTTTTTTTATTTTTTTTTATTTTTTTGAAAAAATTATCATTTTCAACAAATCTTCAATCACTTTTATTTTCTCTACAAAAACATTTAAATTTTTAGTCAAATTAAAAAAAAAAAAGAAAATGAAAAAACGTATGTTTTAAATTTTTGGATTATTATTATTTATGAAAATACGATTTGACGGGACCACCTAACAAAAAGCATTTATAGATAAACTGAAATTCTATATGTGCCTGTGACGTATGTAGGGTGAGGTTAAACAGTCACGGGTTGAAGCAGAAAGGGTGCCAATAAAAAGAAATAGAAAAAGCGGGAAACTGATGAATTCAGTTAGCCGGTCGCCGGAAAATAGTGACTTTGAAGAACACTTTGGGGATTCTGTTCATCAATTCGAACACACACACGTCCCCTTCCTTCAACTGATTATCCACAGCGAATCTCTTCCAACCGCATTTCAACTCCGTCCGCCGCCTCGTAAACGCCCACCGTACACCGCACCACACGCTCCAAATCCTCCCGTCCGCCACTTCCAGCTTCACGTCCGTCGATTCTTGCAGGTACCTCTCCGCAAAGCTTCTCGGCAAACTCTACGCATTGCAGAAATCATTGTTCAATCACTGTTTCAATTGAGAATCATTCCATTTCGTTGTTTTCTTCTTACCAGGTAATTTCCTGTTTGGATGTAGGAAGGCCTCATCGTTACCATGAATGAAGGATTCTTCGTCCTCAATTTGAACGAACTCGCTATTCTCAGAACTCGCTCTTGATTCTCCGTTAATGGCTTCGGCGTCCTTGGAGGATGCATAGGTCTCATCGATTCTGGACTAAATCGGCCGCCGTCTTCGTGATTACGCGCTGAAATCGGTGAGAATTCATCCAATTTTGGTACCGCTTGCTGAAATTGAAATTGAAATTGAAATTTATAGAGTTTTTGCGAACGAACCTGATCCTCTGTACTTCCTCTGTCTCCACGAGTAATCTTCTTCTTCGTCGTCTTCTTCGTCTTCTTCTTCTTCTTCGTCTTCGTCTTCGTCTTCGTCTTCGTCTTCTTCTTCATCATCGCTGAATCGTTGAGGTGTAGTGAATCGTTGATGCTTTATCTTCATGTTCGTCCTCATCATCTTCTTCATCTCGCGTAGGGAACAAAATGCAGCTTCGTGATCTTTTTCTCTTTTCCTCTTCCTCGAAACGGCGTCGTTTAACACAACAACAGAGTCGTCCTCATCATCTTCGTTCTCGCTCTTCGGAAGCAGAATCGGCGGGCGGCGATCGAAGGCTCTGGTGTGATCCTTACGCAGCCGGCGGAAGATCCTCGGTTTGATCGGATAATCGATTTCCGTAGCACTCAAGTCGAAAATGAGAACATTGAAGCACCGATTTCCTTCCAATCTGAAAACCACGAAATATCCAGCTTTCACATTGTAAAACTCCACGAACTCCGGCCAGCCTCTTGCGAACGATACTTTGCCATCCGATTTCTTGAGTTCGACCTCCCAGTTTGCGCCGTCCGGAAGGGTGAGAGTGGCGTTGTTGTGTAGCAAAGAAGCGCGATTGTTGATAACAAACTTGTTTGGAAGATCCTGCAAAAAAAGAAATTGATAAGAAAATGAAGGGATCAGAGAGAATGTGGATTGGATTAGGTTGCTTACAAGCTTTCGTTCGATGAGAGTGTGGTGGAGAATGATCTTGAAGAAATGGGGAATCGGTGAAGTGAAGAAAGCCATCCGGAGAGATTGTTTGTGCTTGAGATTTGGTTTTTGTTTGTTGTTTATAGTAAAAACACAACAATAATCAATAAAGTCATGAAGAACTCTACCAAAATTAATCATCAGGAAAGTATGTCCTCATCCAAACCCAATGAGTTTGAGATTTTTATCCAACTTACCCTAAAATCCTACTCCCTTTTCATTACCTTCATGTTCACAAAAATTGAGTCCAACCAAATTTTGGGTCAGGTCGCATTTTGCACCGATGAACCAAATTTCTTGTTCCACTCAAAATATGACCAACTTTCTCGATCCAACTAATCTCCACAACAGCATGATATTGTCAACTTTGAGAATAAGCTCTCACGCTTTTACTTTTGATTTTTCTAATAGACCTCGTACCAATGAAGATCTTAAATAGTCAATGTGGGACTTCAACTCTTTCGTTCAACATTTGAGTCACTGTGAGTCCACCTTCAAAGATTCTTTTGACATGGTCAAATCTCTACTATAGTATGATATTATTCACTTTGAGTATAAACTCTTGTGATTTTAGTTTTGGTTTTCCTATAAAACCTTACATCAATGAAGATAGTATCTCTTACTTATATATTCAACATCTTTCTATCGAGCTAAACACGAGCTAAAGGCAAGTAAAGGCAAGCAAGAAAAAGGTTGATTGAATTAAACATAGTGGAGTAAGCCAAAAGTTTACATGAGCTCTTGAAGATGACAACTTTCCAAAGCTCCCTCTACAATAGTCTCAAAGGAGACACAATCTAAATCTAACCAATTATAAACATAAATTGAATCCAAGCACATTACAATTTCAAACAATTCCTAAACAATATGAACAGATGAACAGATTCAGGTTGTTTCAGAACCTTCTTCAACAGGAGCGAGTGTTCCCTCTTTCACAAATGAAGAATCTAAAAACTTCGCCACAAATGCCCACAGTTTGTAAACGTCTTCGAAGTTCGTCAAGAATCCCAACGAAGCTGTTACGACCTCGAGCCGTGCAAACCCGTGCTTCCCATGCCTCCGATTTCTGGCTTGCCTGCACAGGGATGAATCTTCAAGGTTTAAAACGCCACGTTGCCGTCTCGGGTTGTCCAAAACACGAATGTGACTGAGGAATCCAAGGCCAAGAGATATGCCATCTCTTTCAGCTAGCTTCTGAACAAATTCTGGATTGATTAGTCCCTTGTTTCTGTCTCTCACATTGAAAGCTACTGCTGCTCCCCTTTCATATTTTATCTTTGGTCCATAAATCTGAACTAGGTTCACTTTGTTGCTTCCTTCCAAACCCGGAAACTTTAGTTGAAGCAACGACGTGACGAGCCAATTTATCAGAAACCGAAGTCGAATTGTTGTCTTGTTCAATCCTAACATATTTATGTGATCAAGATGTCGACATATAATCTTGGGTTCCCTTCTGTTCCACTCTTCCTCGTCGTCATATTCTCCGTTGCTAGTATAATCTTCATCATCGAGGCTCGTCACCGATCCTTCTCCAGGCTCGATGCTATGAAGCTCCTTCCCATTCTCTTCCATCCTAGAATAAACTTCTTTTCCTTGGCCTTGCAAATTAGTCTCTTCCAACCCAAAAAATCTTCCTCCAACATGCTTGCTTCCTTCCCTTCTCCCTAACAACCTGAATTCACCTTCTGTTTCTCTTCTAATCGCACTCTCCTTCATCTCCGAACATAGTTCCGACATCGTTCCATCGTCCTGTCCATGATAAAATTCATTGTTCAATGCTGAGTTTATTGAATAACCATTGGAAAGCAGTTTCCCAGTTTCTGTGACTTTGTGGATCTCTGTAATGGCTCTGTTATTACCCGATGTGGCCCTTGTTTCTGCACGTAGCTCTCCGTGAACTTCCTCAATGCCATCAAAGGATAGCGTATGGTACTCGTCATGGGGCCCTAAGTTCAAATCTTCAGCATCGTCGTCAGTCGGATCGCTATGGATCTTAGAAGTTGGCTTATGTGAGACTAGGCTATTCTTCTTCCCTTTTAACCAATACTGAGGCAAGGGACCGGCATTATCAGATCCTACCGGACTCTGACCTAAGTCGATCCAAATCGAACAATCCGAAGATTCATCTTCACTGAATACCGGGCTCTTCATCACGTCCCCTAAAGAAATAGTCTCACTTTCCTCAAGTATGGTGCTTGTTCCTTCTCTATCAGAGCTGTTATCATGATCCATCTCTGCTTCAAAAACATCCCTCACCTGAACAGACGTGAAGGCACCTGAGAAAGCAGGAAGTTGCAATCCCGGACGAGTTTCGGATGTTTTCTCCACAACCCCTGCAACTTCTTCGTGTTCAAACCGTCCTAATCCATCGAGATCATCCATTGAGTCACTCAGATACATGGGATACTCCGGGATTATCTTCACCATTCCAGAGCCAGTAACCCCGGACCGAGTTTGTAAGCTTCCCATCACTGATCTCTTGATCAGAAGACATCCAAAACCAGTAGGATCATACCCGAAAACCCTATAAAACGACGTGATGATAAAATCTGGTCGAAAAAGCGATAAACCAAGAGAATCCATGTCCTTTGGACCTAATGACCCAGCATCAAGCAAAACATGCCAATTGTTCTGCTGTGCCAGAGCCATCCATTGGTATGAATACTTAGCACCAGTCACTCTAGATTGAACTGGAAACACAAATAAACCAACAGAATCCTTCTTCTTCCTTCGCTTGATTGTTATCTGTTTCCTCAAGTCAGTTGAGCAGAGTTTCAAAGTTGGCCATTTAAACCAAGCATTATAGGCCTTAGCGCCCTTGTCTCGAGCACATTGAGCCATCCAATTCACAGATTGACTCTCATAATCAAACATAGTCAACAATTTCTTATTGGTATGAAAAGGATATGATTCAGCCAACAATTTGAAAGCAGACCCTCTACTAACAGTAAAAACAAGCCCATATTCATGCTCAGGAATGTTCAAATGATCCATAATCCTACTCTTTATATCATGTTCTACAGTCCCTCTATCAGCACCACCATAAAGAGCTTGATTACTCAAATTTGCAGCAATTTCAGACAAACTAAAAGTAGAAGACTCCCAATTATGAAGACTCTGAACATATGAAAACAACCCAAATCCACAGTAATCAAGACATACCTTAAGCAAATGCGAGTATTCATTCGAACGAAGATGATCAATCTTCTCTGATGACTTATACTTCGGGTACATTGTAAGAAACTTAGTGAAAGATTCATGAAGATCAGGAATGGCATCATCAGATTCATATGTACGATCGGCTGCCATGGCTGTGGCCTTGAGAAATTCCCGCTGAGCTTGAAGTCTAGCAAGCGATCGAGATCGGCCCAAGCCATTGCTATCTTCGTTGGGCAGTGGCTCAGAGCCCACATCTTGCGATTTGAAGAGAAACCCATCTTCAGAAGCTTCTTCAAGAGCTTCTCTAAGCTTGTGTTCTTCAAGTTTTCGAAGAATCAATTTGTGTTTCTTCAAATCCATCGCTGAATCAGACCCATCTTTTCTTCTACTCTTCTTATCCATAATCAAAGCAGCACAGTGAGATAGAGGCTTCCATAGTGAATGATGCATCAAACCCAAGTTTTAAAGAGAAAAAACAAACCCCCCCAAAACTGCAAAAGGGAGCCTAAATCCAAGACCCTGCGGGGCTTATTTCGCCATCAAATTAAGAGCCGAACCCTAAGAACACAGACCCGGATCACGAAATTTTGCAGTGAAAAACCCCAACAGAAATAAACCAATTGACCCTTAAATCAAATGCGCATTCCCACCATTAGCATTTCAGAGAAACAGAGGAAAAAGGCATCGAATAGTAGTAAAGACTTTTATTTATTTATTTATTTATTATCACCTTTAGTTTGAACCATTTAACTTTGCTACTACCAATTGAATGATTTTTGGAGGGACCCTTTAGTGACTTTTATTTCTATTTTATTTCAATCATGACAGATTAAAAAAAGTCAAATAACATTTGGTTCTTGTTCTTGTTCTTGATTGATTTTAGGTTTTCTCTTTCTCTTAGGACTTGCATTTAAAAATGTTCATCAATTTGATGTTGTCAAATCTCAAATGAATTCTATTGATCTGTTTGATTGGATTTGAGCCAATGGTTTCTTCTCCATTTCTGTATTATGTTAATTAGTCTGTAGTTTGAACAGACTAAAATAAGAAATCTTTGAGGATGTGCTACCTAATTGAATGGATTGACAAAAATGTTAGTTAAATGTTCTCTATGTTTGGTTTTATTTGTTAATTTCTTATTATTCTAAGAGCGTACTCGGGTCATATTAGATGGAGTTGTAAAAAATTTTTAAACCAACTCAAAATTTCGGGTTGGTTGTATAAGTAACTCGAGTAACCCAAATAATATTCACAACTCAACTAGTCAGGTTGGCACGCTGTTCTTTTTTTTTAATTATATAATTCATCCTACGTTAATGATTAAAAATTCTATAAAATTTAAATATCAAACATTTATAAATCAACACAATGTTAAATATATTTAATTTTTTTTAAATTAAGGCAGGATAGAGTTGAATTATAACTCTATTTTCAGTGGGTTGAATTGACCTAATAAAAAAAATGTCAAACAAGAACTAAATTTTTTATTTTTAAAAAATTAGGCTTAATCCAACCCAAAAAAATAAAATAAAAATATATAATTCAACTCGACCTTTATTTTTTTTATTAGATAGTTCGGATTGGTCGACCATTTTAATTTTTGTAAGCTAATTTATATAATTAGTGAAATCACGAAAATGTAGTTTGAAATAAAATCAAATGTTGATGTAGACCAAATAAAATATTGGTAAAATTTGTCAGTTAAAACATACTTCCACGTTGGACTATCAATTCTCTTTTTAATTAAAATAGAAAATAAAATAAAATATTTATTTTAGTATATTATTTAATAACTTCTAATTAAAATATTGTCATATATCCATATCTCATAGTAGTTTAATTGGATAAGTTTAAATTTGAATTTGACTTTATTGTTTCCATGGTAATATTCTTGGAAAGTAAAAGAACTTACGAATAAACTTAATTTTAAAAATAAAATTATTAATTCAAATTTTAATGATTATAATATTTTAAACGTATGCCAAACCCATTTGCATCTAATTGATTCCCAATCTTTTTTTTGTTTATTTGTTCTTAAAAGTACTTTGTGGACTAAGCAACAATCTTGT